CGCCCCGCGGTCGTTACTGGCCCCGCTGCTCCGGGCGATGCGCCCACGTCTGGAGCAAGACGCAGCCCGTGGGGTTAGAGGTGTGGGGTGAGGGGAGAGACGGGGCGGGGTCCGTGCTCTTGGACGAGGCAGGGGGCGAGGGAGTGGCGTGGGGCCCTTCCTGCGAGGAGGGAAGACGGGACCCTGGATGGGGGAGGGGTTAGTTTGGGGCCCTACCGTGTGGGAGACAAGATGGGGCCCGGGTTAGGGGCCGAGGGCGCCTTGGTGCATGGAGGTCGGAAGGTGACCTTTCATCTTCAACTGTGTTTTTGTTACGGGGTGGAAAGGAGGTACCATGTATGTCCCTTTATGTGACGGTTGCATCCCGTTACATTGAACACCACATTCTTCAGCATGGAGGTAGCTGGGCTAGCATGCAACACACTCTTTTCCCCTGTGCTTTTGAGGTGAGGGCAACAGGGCCTGGCATATAAATGTAGGCTTTCTTTTGAGCCTTCTCTCACCATGGCGGTAGGTGTGATCTTTGCACTATTGTCATGGATGCAAAGATAGCTTGACCAAGTTTGTGTTGTGCCCTGATCTTTGATGTAGGCTACAGGGTACTGCCTTCAGTGTGAGAGTATGGAGGGGTGGGACTTAGCATGTGATGCATCCTTTGTTGGAATTATTGATAATATTTAGAACTATGACTATTGGAGCCCACCAATCATTAATTTAAGTATGCATTCCTTTAAGTCCATAGGGCAAATGGTATTTTATATGGTTTCTTTCAAATCTTAAAAATTAAGCATTTACTACACCTAATACCGCAATGGTTCCCAAACTGCGGGGACTAGGGAAGAGTGGTGTACCGAGGCTGGGAGTGGAGCCTGAGGAGGGGCTGGCATTGACTTACCCTTGTCCAGCACATTCCTTGGTTTGGGGCAGATGAGGTCCCAACGGCGCTGGACCAGGGAAATTCAATCTGTATGTGGAAACTAAAAATTTTGTTCAGAATTTGTACCTTCCAAAAACTAAAATGAAAATCAGTTTTTCCTCAATCTTTTACAGATATGTTGACAGACGACTCTCCACTCCTTTGGGTATTTTTCTAAACAGTTGTGATCATCTGGACTGCTGATAAGTATGGAGATTAAGTTAGATGTTTTAGTCTCTACATGTATCAAACATAGGAAACCTTGGCCTCGAATCTCCTGGCTGGGACAGGTGAGAGTTTGTAGAGTTTTATTTAAACTTAATTGTACATTAACATAGTTTTGATTACATGACCGTTATTTAGCAACTCAATTTACAAAACTTTCAGGGAATGGTTTAGAATTGCCATAAGGATAATTAAGTTAGGAAGTGCAAAGACAAATTACTAGACTTATTGCCGCCATTTTGACTTGATTCCAAAAGTTCAATATTTCTCTCATACCCGATTTTCACTCTGAGATGGATTATTGAGAACACAATTGAATTTCAAGGCAGTCTTGACATCAATCTTGTGAACTTTATATTAACATGCCTTCTGGAACAGAGAAACTGTGGAAAATGGTAAAACAATATGGAATTTCAACAAAGTTAATCAGCTTTATGAAGTCATTCCATGTCAACTCAACATGCATTAAAAAGGAAAATTGAATGAGCAAGCCATTCAACATCAAGACAGGTATGAGTCCTGTCTCCTTTTCTGTTCATGCCAGCCAGGATCTATGAATTAAAGAAATGTAACAGAGATCTATATGGTCTAAACTGAAAAAAATTAAGGTTGTTTAATCTATACTTTGCTGACAACATTGCTCTTACTAATGAAGATACTAATGAACTACAAAAATGCACAAGTTAAGTAAAAGTAATAATGAATCAAGTAGGGGTCTGAGATTTAATGTAGAGAAATGTAAAATCATGTTAATGGGGATTAGGTGTATGGAAATTAAAATGGGAGAAGGTGGACAATTTTACATATTTTGGCAATGCCATCAGCCAGGATGGTACCAGTTCAGAAGAAATAAATAAAGTTGGTGAGAAAAAGACTGCATCTGGAAGACTCACAGCTATCTGGCAACTCAAAAACATCTCCCTCGACACAAAACTAAGCATGTACAAAGCAATTTTTATTGCCATCATAACATATAGCAGTAAGACGTTACCAAGAAAGATACATGCAAACTGGATACATTTCATTACAAATGTCTGAGACTAATATTTGGAATAACACATAGGAAGATGAACAAAGAAAAATTACCAGACAAGGCACCCTTTCACAAATCTACAAAAGAAGACATTAGTGGCTCGGGCATGTTGAAGAGTGCTCAGCAAATGCTCCCTTGAATGGAAGCCAGAAAATGCAAGAAGAAGAGAGGAAGATTGGAACGTGGAAATGAACATTTTTGAATGAGGTGATTGATGTTAATGCGAAAAGGGAAGATTTGGAGAGAATTATTTCTTTGATAAGATAACGAGCCTTGTGGATAAGGGAGAAGCGGTGGATGTCATATACCTAGACTTTAGTAAGGCATTTGATACGGTCTCGCATGATATTCTTATTGATAAACTAGGCAAATATAACTTAGATAGGGCCACGATAAGGTGGGTGCATAATTGGCTGGATAACCGTAGTCAGAGAGTTGTTGTTAACGGTTCTAAATCCTGCTGGAAAGGGATAACAAGTGGAGTTCCTCAAGGGTCTGTTTTGGGACCCGTACTGTTCAATATCTTCATCAATGATGTAGATATTGGGATAGAGAGTACGCTTATTAAGTTTGCGGATGATACCAAACTGGGTGGGGTTGCAACTTCTTTGGAGGATAGGGACATAATTCAAAATGACCTTAGCAAGTTAGAGAAATGGTCAGAGGTAAACAGGATGAGGTTTAATAAGGAGAAATGCAGAGTGCTCCACTTAGGAAGGAACAATCAGTTCCATACATACAAGATGGGAAGCGACTGTCTAGGAAGGAGCATGGCGGAAAGGGATCTAGGGGTCATAGTGGACCACAAGTTGAATATGAGTCAACAGTGTGATGCTGTTGCAAAAAAAGCAAATATGATTCTAGGTTGTATCAACAGGTGTGTTGTAAGCAAAACTCGTGAAGTCATTCTGCCGCTCTATTCTGCACTAGTTAGGCCTCAGCTGGAGTACTGTGTCCAGTTCTGGGTGCCACATTTCAAGAAAGATGTGGAGAAATTGGAAAGGGTACAGAGAAGAGTGACAAGAATGATTAAAGGTCTAGAGAGCATGACCTATGAAGCCAGGCTTCATGAACTGGGCTTGTTTAGTTTGGAAAAAAGAAGATTAAGGGGGGACATGATAGTGGTTTTCAAATATCTAAAAGGGTGTCACAAGGAGGAAGGCGAAAATTTGTTCCTCTTGGTTTCTGAGGACAGGACAAGGAGTAATGGGCTTAAAGTGCAGCAGGGGAGGTTTAGATTGGACATTAGGAAAAAATTCCTAACTGTCAGGGTGGTGAAATATTGGAATAAATTGCCAAGGGAGGTGGTGGAATCTCCCTCTCTGGAGATATTTAAGAACAGGTTAGATAGACATCTGTCAGGGATGGTGTAGGTGGAGCTTGGTCCTGCCTTGAGGGCGGGGGGCTGGACTCGATGACCTCTTGAGGTCCCTTCCAGTCTATGATTCTATGAAGGGTTGTTGATGGGCAAAGATGGGAAATGTGGGTAGCCCAATGTTTAGCAAAGTGTGGGATGGACTAAGGTAAAATAACCTGATGGAAAACCTCTTCTGATAGCTATATACTTCATCATAGTTATTTTCAATTATTATTTGGTAATATGCATTGAAAAATATATGGTCAGTTAGAGATTTTATTCTTGCCTTGGGGACAACCATGAAACACCCAACTATTCTGAACTTGTTTTCAGTATCTGAAGTTATTGTAATAATGTGCTTTGGGGGATAGCAAAGGCCTGCAGCCAGAGTGGAAGTTGCTTGCTTTAAAGATTTATTTTGTTATACATTTATAAGAGTATATATGTGCTCAAATATGTCAATGCTAACTTAACCTGCCATAGTGACAGACACCTATTGCCTTTTAGTTAGCTAGCACCTAGACAATGAATACACAAGTTTATTAATGACTTTGAGCACAAACTTACTGTATCCTTTTCTTTTAAAACAGTATATGAAATGTATGTATAAGCCTATGTTAAAGCAGTATCAGTATTGCATTGTAAAGCATTTAGTAACCAAGAAATGTTATTGGCAAAATTAAATCTACAGTAATAGCTCTCATTTCTTGCAAGTATACATTACAATTAGGAATGTGAATATTTGACTGGTTAAGGTTAACTAGTGGGGACTGGAGCAGCTCCCTGCCTGCCAGTGTTGAATTTGCCCCATATTGCAATATATTTGTACAAAAAGGCAGAATTAAGGTTTCAGTTTCAGTGCAGCAGTAGAGATGTGAACAACTAGTCAACTATCTGATAAGCAAATGCTTATCCAACAGTCGACATGCTAGTCGACTAGTTGCTTCCCCTCCCCCGTTGTCTCTATCAGAAAGAGGCAGCAAGTGGGGGAGGAGGGGATGTTTCAAAGCGATAGTGACATGTGCAGCCTGGGGCCAGCTGGGGGCTACACTCAGTGTTTCAAAGTGTCAGCACCAAATGGAGCCTGGGGTTAACTGAGGACTCAAGCTGACTCCAGGCTCCATGTGGCACTGTTGCTTTCAAATCCCTCAGGGAACACAGGGCCAGCGGGGGACTATTTGAGTCCCCCTCTGGTCCCGTGCTCCCCTCAGTGCTTTCACCTTTGAAGTGTAACAACAGCCTTGGGGCTGTTGCTACACTTCAAAGATGGAGGTATCCTTATCGACTAATTGAGTAGTCAATGCAAATTGCATCAACTATTTGATTGCCCAATTAATCTAAATTTAATATCCCTATTCAGCACTGTATGATTTTTGAATGCTTAACTGTGAATTTCATTGTAGTGTTTTGCATTGGATTGATAAAGTTCTGGGTTTGTTCTACTGGTCTTAAGATAGTACTATATCTATATCTGCATCAATTTTCAAGCAAAGTAAATAATAGATATCATTTTTGAAAACTGAAATATTCCTTTTTTCCTTTTAACAGGAAAAAGAAGCTATTTTTCTCATAGATGATAAATGCGTAACTGAAATTAACCTTGTATCAGGAAAGACAAAGAAAAAAATTCCTCGACTTCAGTCATTGTTGAAAAATGTTGTTGTCATAGCGACATCAAGAAATGGTTAAGTATTTTCTCAAGCTGCAGGCTTTTTTCATTTAAAATTGTAGTAATTTAGAATCCCATAGTACCCTAGAAGTCCCTGATACTGTAACTGTCACCACACAAGCACAGGATCTGGTGGTTCAGAGACACCTGCAGGATTGGGAAAAAAATGGGGAAGATAATTTTAAATACTATATAGTACATCAATTTTAAAAAGTGTTTCCCCTTTGAAAACAGGTGCTTGGTTGGCAGGAATACTTTCAACAGGAGAACTGTTTCTTTGGAATAAAGACCAGGACTATCTGAAAACTGTACCAGCAATTGAAGAATCTCGTAAGGTGATTACAGCAGCACAAGGTAGGACTTGGCAATTTTTTTTTTTTTTTATTATTATTATTAAAAAAAAAAAAAATGTTGACCGGAAAGATCTTCCTTAAATTACATTTTATTTAATAAATAGCTAACATTTATTTGGCAGGAGAGAGAGTTATAAATTAATTTGTATTTTGTGTATGTTAACCTAACCCTTAGTAAAGCTTAACCAAGAGGTCTCAAACTCATGACCCGTGGGCCAGTTACATCCTGAGCAGTTTTGCAGTCTGGCCTAGGAGTCCCTGTGGCACAGGGTATGTGTGTCTAGCTCTGCCTCCCTTCCTTCTTCTCCTCCACTCCCACTTCCTTGAGGCACAAGACCTTAAGGATTACTGCAGTGGCGTGGCATGGGGTGGCAGCAAGCGTCAGAGTCCCCTGCACTCACTGCTGCAGTGGGAGTCAGAGGGAAGCCAAGTAAACATGCTTTACTCCCACCACCACCACAGTTACTTGGCTTCCCTGTGACTCCTACCACTGTAGGGAGTGCAAAGGATCCTCATCCCTGCTGCCACCCTATGTCAGGCCTGTGCAGTAATCACTTAGGCAGTGTTCCTTGGGAGAAGGGTTGAATGGGAGGAAAGGGGTGGAGTTTGTGGGACAAGCACAGGCCCTCCACCACAGGCTACAGGGACTTCGGACCAAACTATGAAAATGCTTGGGCCATAGATGGCCTGTGGGCTAATATAGGAGGTCCCAAACTCACAGCCTTTTTATTAACAGAAATGTTAATTACATTTTGGATTTCCAAACTCTTGTGATTGTGTCTTTAAACATAATACATTTGTCTGTGTCTTTGACAGTTGAACAATGGGGATAATGGTAAGAGAGACGTTCATATAGATCCTTTAATGTTTTAAAGTGCTTGCTTCCTGCCATTAACATTAAACAGCACTTTGGTTTGAGAAAGCTGCCTGATTACCCATATTAACCACTGGCCATGTGCTCCAGAAGGGAAGACTTGCAGATGCTCAACCTAGTAGTAGGACTTGGTGAATAATCAGGGTTGATACACAGCCCGGTGGTAAAAGCAGAGCGGCAGCGGGGGACGTGGGAGAGGGATCTTGGGTTGATCGGGCAGAAGCGGGACAAGCAGCTGTTGCTGCTGCTAGGGCCAGTGGTAAAAGCAGAGCGGCAGCAGGGGACGCGGGAGATGTCTGAAAGGGGAGCGGGGAAGGAGCCAGCGTCTTTGCGCGCCGGGCTCCTCTGTCTCTTTATGGGCAGGGGGAGGGGAGCGTTCGGGTTCTCGCGGAACCCTTATGTTCGCTTTGCGGAACCCCAGGGATCCGCGGAGCACCATTTGGGAAACACTGGTTTAGATAATGACATAGAGAATATGCTTATAAAGTGTGCAGATGATACTAAACTGGGAGGGGCTGCAAGTGTTTTGGGCGATAGGGTCATAATTCAAAATGACCTGGACAAACTGGAGAAATGGTCTGAAAACAGGATGAAGTTTAATAAGGACAAATACAAAGAACTCCACTTAGGAAGGAGCAATCAGTTTTACACCTACAGAATGGGAAGTGACGGTCTAGGAAGGAGTACTGCAGAAAGGGATCTTGGGGTTATAGTGGACCACAAGCTAAATATGAGTCTACCATCTGACACTTGCAAAAAAAATCAGACCTGATTCTGGGAGGCATTAACAGGAGTGTGGTGAGTAAGAGAAGTAATTTTTCTGCTCTACTCTGCACTGGTCAGGCCTCAGTTGGGGAAAAATGTGGAGAAATCAGAGAGGGCCCAGAAAAAAGCAACAAAAATTATTAGAAGTCTAGAAAACATGATGTATGAGGGAAGACTGAAAGAACTGAGTTTGTTCAGTTTGGAAAAGAGAAGACTAAGAGGAAACATGATAGCTGTTTTCAAGTACCTAAAAGGATGTTACAAGGAGGAGAGTGAAAAATTGTTCTCCTTGATCTTTGATGATAGGACAAGAAGCAGTGGGTTAAAATTGCAACAAGGGAGGTTTAGGTTGGACATTAGGAAAAACTTTCTGACTGTCAGGGTGGTTAAACACTGGAATAAATTGCCTCGGAAGGTTGTGAAATCTCCATCATTCAGGATATTTAAGAAAAGTTTAGATAAACCTCTGTTGGGGATGATCTAGGGTGCTTGGTCTTGCCTAGAGGGCTGGGGACTGGACTTGATGACCTCTCAAGGTCCCTTCCAGTTTTAGTATTTTATGATTCTATGAAGTGTTTCCAGAGGGCTGTGTCCTGAAGCAAAGTGCCCGTTGGAGGAATTGTGGGTAACTCAGTGGCAGCAGTGGGGATATTGCTAAAGGTCGAGGTAAGGCACTAGGGAAGACATCTGTGCCTTCATTGAACCCACCACTTGATTCCCCCCTTGGTGTGAAATGCCCTTTCTAAGTCTCCATTCACCCCACCTCATGGATGGCCATAAGCAAGCTGTTCTCCTTCCCAGTAGTAATGCTGTGCTAGTGTCAATAAGTGTCTGCCAGTATAGTATCTATTCTCTTGGCAACAATGACTTTGACAAATGGCATGTCTGACTCTGGGATGGGGCTGGTACCTCTCTTCCTCTGCCTGCTTGAGATGCTGCTTTCTGGCTGTCCTGCCTCTTCACAATAAGGATGAGACAAGAAGAATAAGATTTGGTGCTTAAGTTGGGTTAGTTGCACAGACTTGACTGTCTCTGAGTCTGTCAAAATGTAACATCTTCTGCAAAGAGAGACCTAGATCATATAGTTCTGCTTTGAACTTCTCTTTTTGTAACTACTTCCCTCTCTCTCTGCCAGCTCTCTCCTTTAGAGATAAAAGAGAGGAAAAGAAATATTCTCACTTCAATTAAAGTTATTTTTCTTGTTATCATTGTTATACAAAAATAAACCCCAATTACAAATAAAGTTATTGTTTACTTAGGTAGCATCCAAAATGTGGTGGGAGCTTTACAATTTCCAACCACCATTTAGGCAAGATGATTGAGTAGATAATTGACAGCATGCATTGTTTGCTTTTTTTTTTTTTTTTTTTAAGTTCAATTTATTAAATTCTCTGTTCCCTATCCTCTGTACATGGTCTAACCTCCTTCCCTATCCCAGTTTCCAGTTTCAATTCTAGTATCCTTGCATTTGTCTCCCAGCATGCAAGCCCGTCTTTCCATATAAATGAGCAGTTTGTTTATGCAATAAGTGAAACAGATAAGTTAGAGGAGTTATTCATTTAGTTTCATGTAGTCCATAAAAGTCCTTCAGGAGGAATTTAAATAGTGAGAAAACAGTTCAAGTGAGGCAATCCATGAATTTTTAAACTAAGGGTTAATGGAAATCAGACAGGTGTGGAGGTTAAGGATAATCTAGGAATGGCCCAATATTTGAACAAATACTTTACTTCAGTCTTTAATGAGGCTAATGAAGAGCATAGGGATAATGGTAACTTAACAAATGGGACTAAAGATATGGAGGTAGATATTACCATATCCAAGGTAAAAGCCAAACTTGAACAGCTTAATGGGAGTAAATCAGGGGGCCCAGATAATCTTCATCCAAGAATATTGAAGGAACTGGCACATGAACTTGCAAGTCCATTAGCAAAAATTTTTAATAAATCTCTAAACTCAGGGGTTGTACCATTTGACTGGAGAATTGCTTACATAGTTCCTATTTTTAAGAAAGGGGAAAGAAAGCGACCCGGGTAACTATAGGTCTGTTGGTTTGACATCTGTAGTATGTAAAATCCTGGAAAAAATTTTGAAGGAGAAAGTAGTTAGAGACATTGAGGCTAATGGCAATTGGGACAAATTACAACATGGTTTTACAAAAGGTAGATCATGCCAAACCA